GGAGTTTTTTTTTTCCTGTATTTTTCCTTTGTCGATCATCTATAACTGCCCTGCAGGGTTGTCATGGTGATGATTGTCTCCAGTGGTCAGCAGGAGAGGTACTCCCTGGGTAGGTTAGAGATCCACCAGAGGCAAAAAAGAAAAAAAAAAAACATGTTTAAACACATATCTAAGAGCGATTCAGTAACACTACATAAACCTACCATGGATGATTTTTAGCCTGTTAGAGGAAAGAGAAGAGAATCCATGCAGGCTGGGAAATGAAATGCAAACTCCAGCAAAAAAAACCCTGACTTGAAATTTAACCTGGGAAACTCTTTCTGCAATTCAACAGTACCTTTAACTGCACCCGAAGTGAAACGGGATTATTCCTGCAATCGGTGGTTCAGTTTATATCTGTGCCCAACAGTGAAGAGGAAATCCTTTAATCCCTTTGTAGATGAGCTACAACTAACCAGAGAAGAAATGTTTTGCTTCTGAAAAGGATTATCAGTACAGCAGAAAGCCAAATTTCAGTCAGTTTATTTCTATAGCGCCAATTCACAACACGTCTTTTCAAGGTACTTTACAGTTCACCAGATCATACAGTGAAATTGATTCAAAGTTTCTATCTAAGGAAAAGCAGTTAATTGCATCGACTCGTTGACTCAAATGCAATCCCTCACACTAAGCATGCTTGTGGCGACAGTGGAGAGGAAAAACTCCCTTTTAACAGGAAGAAACCTCCAGCAGAACCAGGCTCAGTGTGAGCGGCCATCTGCCGAGGCTAAATGAAGTTTAAAGGGACGGAAGCAGAGATACAAAAGGCAGCTGTAAAAGGCAGCCCCATCCTGGAAACACACAGCCAGGCAGACGAGGTCCGAGCCAGCTCCCATGTCAGAGGATGAAGAGAGCACATCCAGCCGGTCAGTCAGAAAAACAGGAATACACTGGAAAACAGGCCGATCTCGAACATCAAAAAGGAAACTTATCGACTCACTAAAAGTATAAATATGATTCAATTTGGGGTCTGAAAGTAATCGCCACACATTTGATGTTTTAATCAGGAGTTTATCTTTTTTATTTTCATGATCTGATGTCTTTTTCTCATCTTCCCAGCACCCCTCTTTTAAAAGTCAGTCACTCCCTCTGGATCCCACCTCCTCTGTATGATAGCTATCTCCAACAGAAGGGTGACACAGAGGTACATGCTCAGTTTTTGGCATTTTAGAGGCATATTCATGGTTTTAGGCTGCGGGAGGAAACCAGAGTACCCAGAGAGAACAGACAGAAACACAGGGAGAACAGGCAGACAGACACCAGGCTGGGGTTGCTTACTTTTGAAAGGGAAACTGCGCTAAAAACAAAACTGCAAAAAGTCCATTGCAAAATAAACTCTTGGGAGTTTATGTTGTTTGAATAAAATGTCACGGTCCAAAGCATGCCATTGGATTAGCCATCATCTAATATTCTCCTCCACTAATACCTTCTTAGACTTCTCAAGGTTACATGATACGCCCACCTGCTGCTCCTTGTATCGTATAAATATGTTTTGAAACAAAAATAACCCAAAACCTTGGGGGAAAAAAAAACAAGCAGCTCTGATGGATAAAATAAAAACATAAAAAAATCCCAGTTTATTAAGTTAGGATGACCTTTTATGGGGGTGATCATGAGACATTCAACAAACTAAATTTGACCCAGGCTTATAAAGCTATAAACGGTTTCTGTCCATCTAAAGAAAAATAAAAACATAAGGACAAGAGTGAGGTTGTTGAAAAGAGAACAAACGGTTTATAAATATCCTGCAGGTTTCACCGAGGACACGAACAGCAACAAACAAGGATGTGAGAGGGCAACCAAGGCTGAAGCAGAGTTTGGTGGGGGTGTGAGTATGGCAGCTTTGCTTCAGGCACAAAATGAAATCACACAAACAGTTCAGTGTTATGGTGATTAGCTCCTATGTTACACACATGGAGGCGGTGGTTCTGCCGCCGGCACATAATCTGACTGAATCCAAAGGAGTTGAGATCCTGTAAGACTGGGAGCAGCATGTGAAGGTCGACAGGGCAGATTTTATGAGTGCTCATCATTGAGCTTCATCTCATGACTGCCTCATAGAGGGGGATATTTGTAGAAAGTGTGAAATCACTCCCAATAAGCGTAGTTTGCCCCCAGTGAAGTCAGTGAGGCGGTTCACCATTTTTTGATCATATAACTGTAGGTTTATTAGTGATTATACAAACAGCTGCTGAGAAATTAGTTTTACTCTTGGAGAATAAATGTAGCTCTATATTGCCCCCTGCTGGTTAAATAACTGGTATTGCAAGCTTTCAATAAAGGAGTGGAAAAGACTTTTGTCTCATTAGCAATCTTATAAATTGATCTGTTTTAAATGACAGCAGCTCTGATTTCCATGTAATGTTCTCAGAAGTGGCTTCACTTGAAAATGCTTCGACTGAAACCAGTCCAGTGCAGCGGAGACTGGTGGAGTTTTCTTCAGGGGGGGACTATAAATTCAAAATAGATGTACATCACACAATTATACTGATATGAAGGCCAACAACAAAAAAATATATAAAAACACTTTATTAAAACAAAAATGTCATGTACAGGTTTACTTTTTGTACATAAACGTTGCCCTTCTGAGGCTTTGTGAAGGTAAATATGGGTTTTGCATGCTCCAATATGGTGTCACAGACCTAAAAATAATAATGTGCCCATTTAATAATGGAGAAACTATTAGTCAGTTTTATACTTTTAATATCTTAAAACTATTTATTTTCTGAGAATGTGTTTAAGAGTTTATTTTTTGTTGCAAATTAACAAACATCTAGAAAAAGTTCAGTATTTTATTATTTTCCTTGTGAATCCCAGATTGTTCATTCTTCTTTGCCTTTTCTAAAAAGTGCTTTTAATCAGTCCTACCTGTCGGACAGGGGCAAAAATTCCAGGAGCCCAAAACCCATAATTTTTTATGATTGACCAAATATTTATTAATTTTCCCTAGCAACATTATACAATTGGTTATTTCGCTACACTTAAGGGGCGCTTTGAATGAGTGCCCAAGAAGAGCAATGATGCGTTCTGTTGGTTGAATTGGTGGAAGTGGTGTTTTAACCCCCTATGGACCAGCCGCCACTGGTCCAGCGTAGCTCTACATCTTTAACGTTTCCCTTAAGGATTTGTTATCAAAATCCATAATTTTATCCAAACCTGCTTGGTTTGTTACCTGCAAAGGAAAAGCATCCCCACATCATTCTGCCACCACCACCGTGTTCAGCCTGAGGCATTGACAGGGTTTATACAGGAATGAGCAACTTTAATTCAATGCATTTTAATGTTCTTAGAAATATTTTCAATGCTATCAACAAGTACCCATGACTCGTATATTACACGGCAAAATACTTCATCTTTACCGTCTACAGGTTGCAGTCATGTCACGAATTCCTCGTTTTCCAGCCACTTTTGTTGAAATTTGCATTTTCCCATTCTCTAGCTTTTTCTCTGCCCCAGCCTTCTTTTTGAAACATACGGCTTTACGATCAACCAGAAGCAGTTCAGCGCAAATACGCAGAACAAGTTATATTAGAAATATCTGATAAAATTGTTTTTATAATTTTTTTTTTAATTAAAGCATTTTAAATGCCACAATGATCACATTTAATGAATTTTAATGCCAATTAAAGCCTTAATTAAAAAAATATATATTTAATGACTTTTAATGATTTTCAATGACCCTGATTGAGTTTTCCTCTGACCAGAACACCTTCTTTCACACATGGTTTATAGCAGCAATAGAATTTCTTTTTGCTAAACTTAACCCAGTGTAATTTTTACTGAATCTCCTGGATGAACCAAGAATGTCTGCAGCTCGTCCAGAGCAACAGTCAAACTTTTAGTGACTGATTATTACACTTGCTGTACGTTCAATATACTCCTCATATCTTAATTTTATTTTTTTCCACAATTTTTATTTTCTTGGATTACTTAGAAACCCTGGTTTACTCTGGTGAAACCACAACATGAGTTGAGTCTGATAAATATTCTAACGTATTTGATTAAAAAGTACCAAATAATTAGAATTTTAAGATGTAAAATAAATAACACTACACAAATGTTGGACTTTCATAAGCCTTAATTAAGCTCATTGATGTTTAAGTTCAAGTCAAAGTTCAAAAATAGATGGTAAATTAGTCTTTAAATTAAAAAAAATCTCTCTGGACAAAATGCATTACAGAATTTATTTTGTCGCATAACTTTAAACTTTGTTAATATATCTAATCTATAAAATGGGGGTGAAGGAATAAACACCTTATTTCTCCTCTAGGTTAGGTTAAAACAAGCTCCACCCCCATGCTACAATAATTTGGTCACGAAAACCATCCCAGATCATAACTCCTCTACCACCGTACGTTTCAAGACGTGCTGTTTACATTTTGAAAACGCTTTTTTTCCTACAGAAAAATATTAGATCTAATTCTAATTCTTTAATCTTATTCTAGTGTTACGGCTTATTTAGATGCTTCTTTGCAAACCTAAAGTATGCAGACAGAAAATCCACAAACAAAATTAGCTAACAAGCTATCCTCCCTAAGGCTCAACTAATTATAGTCATGATGTTTAACATGGAGTCAAACTGCCAGGTCAACTTCAACAGGAAGGTTTTTTATTCAAGTTAGAATGAAATCATCCTGTTTTTCCTTAATATCCAATGAATAGAATTTAATCCTTAGATATATATAGAAACACAAAGAAATAAGTATTTAATAAAAATGATCACATATGCTGAACAAGCAACAGGTTAGACAGACAACAAACATAATGGTGATGATAAAAATACATATTTACAATAAATTTTTATTTACAATGAAGAACACTAACCCAGACCCACCCCTACACAAAATTACAAAATTAAACTGAAGATAAACGGGGAAAAAAATGCGAGTACAATAAAAAAACAAAAAACAAAAAAAAAACATGTTATTGGTATAACAAACAGTGTTCTACCTGAGAGCGGACTGATGCTGTACGTAATGCTGACTACTCACCTCGCTCAGTTTTGGTCTAAACATCGAGCGCGGGGAGTCCACAGTTCAGAGGCCCACAGGTGATTTCTGTGGAGCCAGCGCCGCGCACTGGCAACGTCCAACCTGAACACCTGTTCCTGGGAGACGTTAACGTTGGTGTAATGGACGTCCAGTTTGGGCTGAGGAAGGGACGATGCTAAGAGGAGCCGGGTCCCTGCTGAGATGTAATCCACCTCAGAGTTAAGAGTCCTGCGAAAAAGACATGAGGGAGGACCTTCAGATTGCATACAACAGTTGGGACGCCCTCACCTTATGATATTATCCAGAATCATTCACCATTTCTAGATAAATTTAAATGCATTTTATGCAACAGGGCAGGGATTCCCAAGCCCAGTCCTCGAAAGCTACTAACCTGCAGCATTTAGCCACATCCTTTCACAAACTGGAAATACAGTCATATGAAAAAAGTTTGGGAACCCCTATTGATCTTAATTTTTTTATTTCTAAATATTTGAGTGTTTGCAACAGCTATTGCAATTTGATGCATCTAATAACTGATGGACGCAGTAATACTTCAGTATTTATTGGACTAACAGAAAATATGCAGTACGCATTCAAAAAAAAATTGACAGGTGCAAAATGTGCCTTGATGAAGAATCAAACACTAAGAAACAATCACATGACTTGAGGGAATCCCATATGAGTTCAAACTCTTCGATTAACTCCCTCAGTCTGCTCGTTTTCTGTCAGCATCCACATTAGAAGCAGTGTGGGCCCTGTGGTGGCCTTCATCATAAAACAGAGGTGAGAACTGTCCAATGGCTACCATGAGTTCATGCGTCCGTTCTCCAATGGTCAGCTTTTCCTTCTGAAGTGTTGATCGATGTGGTCTTTAAAATGTTGGTAAAGCATGTTTGACAGAAAGCACTGAAAACTGTGCAGATTTGCTGCAAGTCGCTGTCATCACTAGTTTTGCCATTTTAAACAGGGTTTCATGTCTCCATGCAGACCATCTGATATTATGAAACTTACCCAGTATCACGAAAGAGATCCCACTTTCTTCACAAAGCTTTTGTTTTTTTGCACCAACTTTTTGTAAGTAAAACTGCAGCAGCGTGACCCCAGCGCGATCAAATGTCTTTCAATAAGGAATGGTGTTATCGGTCAACTTTGAGCGATTCTCCAGGCTTGGACTGATCATTTTTGATATCGGGCATTTGCCCGGTGGGCTGACCCTCCTTAAATCATACCGGCCAAACACCTACTCTCTGACCGAAGCACCTACCTGTGACGGTAAAAAACTTAAGAAGGAGCTAAAGAAGTAATACAATGTTAACTAATGACGCATGCAGTATATATAGCCCTTCCTTGTCATGCACATCCTTGTGACGGTTGGCATATGGTGTAATTTTCTATGTCTTCCAACTGTAAAATCCTTGCAACAAACTTAATTCTAAATAAATTATTCTAAATCTTTATTCTATCTCTATTCTCCCACTCTGTAGAATCTGTTAGTTCAATCTCTAACGTTCTGCTCTCTCTGCTTTTTCTCATAGTAGCTTCGCCTCGTCCGTTCATGTTAGGCTGTGACTCCATCCTGGAGAGAAATATCAGCTGTGCTGCTTCCATCAACACCTTTGTTTATAGATGCTGGAGATCGGCCTTTTTTCCAGTGTAGTCCTGTTTCTCTGACTGAATGGCTGGATGTGCTCTCTTCATCCTCTTACATGGGAGCTGGCTCGGAGCTCGTCTGCCTGGCTGTGTGTTCGCCTTTTACAGCTGCTTTCTGTATCTCTGCTTCTGTCTTCTTGAACCCCAGTCAGCCTCGGCAGATGGCCGCTCACACTGAGCCTGGTTCTGCTGGAGGTTTCCTTCTGTTAGAAGGGAGTTTTTCCACTCCACTGTCGCTAGAAGAATGCTTAGTGTGAGGGATTGCCTTCCAGTCGATGCAATAAGCTGGTTTTCCTTAGATAGAAAACTTTGAATCAATTTGACTGTGTGATCTGGTTGAACTGTAAAGTGCCTTGAGATGACATGTGTTGTGAATCGGCGCTATATAAATAAACTGAATAGAAATGAAAATTGAACAAAACTAAAATGCTTTCTTCAAACCAAACCGTGATGTTCCTATTATATTTCGTGAATTTATGTTCGAATATTTAGCAAAAATATGTTGCAGCGCATTGATGCATCCGTTTACATTATTCCATTGTGTAGATGGAAAAATGCCAGAGCCGAAAATCGTTCCCAGTCCGACCCTGATGCATGGTGCAACAAAATGTGCACATTTTGTCTGAGCTTTGGCACATTACATTACAGCAGCCCCGTCTGTGCGCAATGCGGCCAATTTTTTGTAGCCTGTGCAGTTCGGTCAGCACACAGTTCAATCAGTCTGAGGTAAACTCTCCGTTCCTTCGACACAGACACAGTCCCTAAAGTTCATCAGACTGCAACTTGGCTCTTAACTATCGCCCACACCAATGATGGTGTGAGCGATTATCCGTGTGCCATCTTCACGTGAATGATATGGACCTCTGACATTTACTCCTGTTTCAGTAAAGGAATATTCTCAAAATAGGAAGACATTGCTTTATGCTTCAGCTTTATGGAAGCTGAGGAGAAAAATATTTTAAAAAACTTGCCGCTGTTCTTCATTCAGTTTATCCCTCCATCTGGAAAGTGGGCGACTGGACATTTCATCTCGGTTAGCTTGTTTATTAGCAATGGCTTGCGCCACATTCATTCCTCCTTACTGTTTTTATGTTTGTCAAATAAAGGATGGTTTATAAAACGCACCTGTTTTGTCCACTAGATTCTGGCTTCAAGCTATGGCACATCTAGGAGCGAATTATTTGAAAAAAGTATTTTTTTCGGCTCCGGGCCAGTTTCCCGTTTCTTTAAAGGTGGCGAAAAGCCAAAGAGGCTGCTTAATGTTTCTTATTTTCTTGACATCCACACGCGCCGGCTACCATTCCTTCTTCCTGTCCGCTGGACTGCTGCTAGTTTTACTCACATGCCTGGAAGATGTCTAGTGCTACTACCACAGATGATCTCGCTCTCGAAATGGAATTGAACAATTCAGATTAGCTAGCCGAATTAATATAAGGGGTAGAGCGTAGCCGCCTGTGGCCTGGGCTTCCTGTTCCGACTCCAGTGCACATGCACGGATGACGTCATACAGGCGCCGCTTCGTTTTTAAAACATATAAATATAAATATAATAACCGTGGATGTCTGGGGGACAGTGAGTCGCCTACATGTTATGAATGCTGGCGTACCATAAAGAATAAATTATGAACAGTTTAGCTTGCGCTTTCAACTCGTTGCCCAAAGAAAGACGTTACTTGGATATAACCTAACGGAATATCTTCAGAACAGCTCCAAATGACACCATACTCATATGGGTGAGTAGAACATGATGTAATAATGTAAAATCAACCGGCCAATGTCAAAAAAACGGCGTTCCCCTTTAAATAAAATTTCAGGAAACCATTTAGAACAATGTTCAACTCGTCAACTTTGATTCACAGCTTGTAACAAGCCATACAGGGAAACACTGCAAATATCATGTCATCTAAATTCCTTTTTTTTTCTGTACACAACCATCTACTCCTGTGGGAGTACGCTGTGGGAATTATTTCCTTCAGCAGTGACAAGGAAACTATAATGCTGCCGTGGGTTAGATAAAACAATATTTAAGTGGCAGAGGGGAATAGTCCAGGGGTCTGCAATCTGTAGCCCCATGTGGCACTTTGGACTCTGTGTAATAGCTCTTAATAGAGGCTAAAAGGAGATAAAGAACTAATATATTTTAATAACAAAAAACAGTCTTAGGAGCTTTAGTGGTTTTTCTAAAGAATGTTTGAACTGAATCTTCACAAAAGAACAACATAAAAAGAATCTGAAATATGTTTTTAGAGCCATTTTTCTTTTAATTTCTTGGGAATTAAGTTTTTTACCATTTTTTTAAAAGCTAAAAATACCAAGAAACTTTTGGTTGTTTAAGATGACATATATTTGATAAAAATAATAGGGTGTCTTTGATTAAAAAGTCATGTGATATTTTGCGGCTCTAAAGGACTTTTACCAAGTCGGACTCGAAGAAAAAAAGCTCTTTGTATATGAAAGGTTGCAGACCAATTTAGAATCTGTTACGCCTGGGAAGCTGCATTGACAGCAATCACAGGTTAATAATGCAATTGCTTTTAAAACTCATTATCAATTAACCCCCCCACCCAAAAAAAAATATTTAGAATTTTATGTAAAAATGTTAAAGGTGTGGGAAAATGTTTTAAACCACAAAATGAGGGTTTACCTCTTCAGAGTAATGCTGAGGGTGGGGGTGACGGTGTCAGACAGAAGGATGACCGATGCATTCAGGGCCACAAACATCTCCAAGCTGAGAACGAGCTCCACCTCTCCGAGCGAGCAGGGGACGGTCAGCTCCATCAAACCGGGCTCTGCAGACACTTCTGGATAGTAGCCCACACTCAGGGAGTCTGGGTGAAATAAAAAGATACTGTAAAGCTTTGATTATTCCAATCAATATTAATCTCATGACTGGATTCTACTGTTCATTTCTCAGCTGTTTAGCACACAGGGCAGTAACCCAGAGATATATTTACGTTTGAAGACTTCCCGCGCCCGCAGCCAATGGTTCTGTCGGCCAAGTTTCTCGATCGTCGTCTGCAGCAGCAGGGGATCCACAGCCAGCCCTTTAGACAGCATGAACTCCACCGTGTCGGACGCTACAGGAAGAAATGTGTGTCTCTCCGTCTCCAAACACATTTGGAGGTGAGACGTAAAGTGAGGAGCGTACCTGGAGATGTCGATCGAGTCTGGGGGGAGAGCAGAGTGACCAATCATTTATCAGTTTTATAACGGAGACGTGCAAAGTTTGCAAAGAGAAAGATTTCCACTTCTTTTGTTTGACTGAATAAAAATTGTAGCAGCTTTATGAACAAATCTGATTATGAACAAGCTCACCGATGGGTTCCTTGACTCCTGGCAGGTTACAGAGCACCTCTAATGTGTCCCTGATAGAGATTTTCCTGGCCAGTTGGATCTGAACATTAGTCCGACTCTCTAGATCAGCGGGCTTAGATGGTCGGGCCCATGAACCGAGGAACCAGCCATGCTCTGAAGGAACAACAAAGAAAAACATTTTAGATTTAAAAAGCCCTGAAAATGATTGTGTTATCCCAGTGGTTCCAATAGGGGGCAGCTTTTGCACAATTTACTGCATCACCTCATGGAAGTGACCACGCTTTAATACCGAGCTTCAGCTCTTCTGCAATGTTGTTTCATCATCTTCCTCTTAGACCCCCCGTCGTGTCTAGGTTAGACTGGTTGATTGGCCCTCAATTCAGTGATGTACTGATCATTAAAATTAGGTATTGATGCTTTTGAAAGTCTGCAAAGTCCTAAGCTGGAAAATAAAATTAGCATCTCCATAAAAATTAGAGAGAAACATCTGAAACATCCTGGTGGGTGGTTGATGCGTTGTCTCTCTTTAAGGATCTTGATCTCTAAATTTACTTCAATATCTAAAGTGGACTGAGGATCACAGACTGACAGACCACACCCATTTCCTGACTATATGATGGGGTTTTTGGCTTTGTGACTTCAGCCATAGTCCCAGCATCATCTTTCCACCTCAAAAACTCATCAATAGAATTTGCACAATTTCTTTTTGCCAAACTTTTTCCTTCCACTAAACTTCATATTAGTTTGCTTGATCAAGAAGTTAAGTTTTTATTACCGTATCGGTATTTTCACGACTATAAGGCGCATATAAACGTCTTTTTTTCCCCTCAAAATGTGCGATGCGCCCTTTGGTGCGGTGCGCCCTATGTGTGTTGTTACTGCGGACTTTTGAGACCACGTCATTGAGGAGATGATGAAAGAGTGGCTGAATGTAAGGAGACCAGGTGGTTTTTTTTCCACTCATCACCATCGCTGTTAATCTGTGACTCCATGCGTGCCCATCTCACAGCTAATGTGAAAAACATGGTGAAACAAATTAACTTGCTGTTATTCAACCGCTCGACATCGGTGTAAACCGGACGCAGCAGGTGCAGCAGCAGCGAGTTTGAAAGCAAAGTCAATGGTTGACGCGTGTATAGGCGCAGCAAAAGGTCCCGCAGCGCGTTTTGAGCATGCTCGAGATGGAAAAATTGAAGTTTTGCTGCTGGACAGCAAATATAGCTGCAAGGCAAAGAAAGGATAGGATAGCTCAGCCCAACGCGCGTCAGACACACTTTTGCACCACGCAGGCAGAGCAGCAGAGCTGCTTCAGCCGTGCGTCAGAACTAACTGCAGGCAGCAGGTTAATAAAAGCGAACATATTCTGCCGGCAGAATAATTCCACGAAAAGTGGAAGGCAGCGCTGGGCAAGTTACGCCACCGTTTGCGGATGGATTGTTGATGCTTGGACTAACGTGTCTGCTGGCACTGTTGTTCGAGCTTTCGCAAAAGCCGGCATCATTTCAGAGCCTTTCCGGCACGGAAAGTGACTCTGACCGCGAAGAAGGGGAAACTGGCATTTCTGATTTAGCGCAGCTGTTTAATTCAGAAACAGAGGATGATGACTTTGATGGGTTTGATTAATACTTTGTAATAAATACACCTTGCAGCTATATTTGCTGTGATCAGTGGGAATAAAGTAGTTTTAATATGTTTTTAAGTGATAAAGTCCACCTGAAAACTTAATCATTGCAGTCAGTTCATCCAGATTATCATCCTGCCTTCCAATATTAGTTCTGTCGGAGCCGCTCAGACCCCCACATACCAGTGGTGCGCCGACAATAGGAATGTCTCACGGCCAGCTACCAGGTTTGATTAATACTTTGTAATAAATACATGAATAAAGCACAGTCATACTCAGTTTTGCTCCTGCTGTATTTTTAAATATGCAGTAGAGGTATTTAAACGTAGTAGAGGACATGTACCTGTATATAAAAAACGCGCCCTATAGTCCGGTGCGCCTTATGTGTGTGTTAAATACAGAAATGGCACACTTAACTGAGACTGCGCCTTTTAGTACGGTGCGCCTTATGGTCGTGAAAATACGGTAGTTGTGAGCCATATTAAAGCATAAATAAATGTCTAATAGATCTATAGGATAGAAGCTTTCCTTTTTTTTATGAAATAACTGAAATAAATTCATTATTTGATGATTTTTATCTGTAACAGCTCTTTAATTTGTGTTAGAATTTCATGCATAACCCAACCTATGAAGCGTTTCGCCATAGAGAAGAACCTTCTGTGCAGCATATGTGGAGTTTAGGAGCTCAGTACCTCTGAATGTGTTCAGCGCTGCCTCCGCCATTCCACTCATCAGGAAGAGCTCTGCAGCCACGGTGATCAGGAAACAGGGCGATGCTCCGTCCTCGTTCCCAAATAAGCTCTTCAGTGTCACGTAGTCCATTTTCAAACTGGACAGCACCTGCACCACTTTGCAGCCCTATGTTTGGAAAAGACGATGAATCAACTGAAGGCAGGAGGAAAGGAGGGAAGAACAGAAGGGGAGGTTACCTTATGCCAATGATGGTTTTTGTGGTATCTTAACATCAAAGAGACTCCGATCCTGCCAACAAAACTCCTCACCACGCTGTCGTCCTTATCTTCATTTTTACACACTGCAAACAAAGGGACCAACCATTACACGATGCACCGAAGCAGTCAGATCATGTTTTTGTTCGCATTTCATCAGCTTACAGCCAATCATTTTTTGCCAAGCTGTTATTTTAGTAAAAGTCAAAGCAGGATTTAACGTAATAGCTTAAAAAAACAGTAGCACCTGTGAAAATATAAAAATACATTTCAACAACAAAAGCCCTTAAAGTGTGGTTTGCATTTTGATTCATTCCCCTCTAAACTATGAATGGACTGCAGGGTTTCTCTCAATCATGCGTAAATTCAAAAGTGTTCAACCCCCTTTGCTTCACTTTACAGTCACATTGCTTTAGAGGCGTGGGAATTTAAATTTCTCTATCAAAGGAGTGTTTTTGATAAAAAACCGAGTCCCCAGCCTGAGATGAAGACATTTAAAACAACAGAAATAAAAGATTTGTGGCCAAATGGGAACAAAACCCCCAAGTCCTTTATTATTTAAAACTTTTACCTGATTCAACAAAAGCAGCGAAGGGCAGCGCCACCTTGTTTTTGTTCTCAGCCAGCAGGGCTATGGCGATCTGGCCGGTGATGCGCTCCACGTGGATGGGGTGTTGGCTCAGCTGGCAGATGGACCTATACACCTCACCCATCCGCCTCCAATCCTCCTGTTTGGCACAGAGCTGACAGAGGGATGATAACAGTAAAAATACAAAGGAACAACTCTAAGGGATGACTACCCAATAAAAAAACACTAACCTGGATTTCCACATTCCCATGCACTAAATTCAGGAAGTCTGGATTAGGTGGGCAGGCAGACAGGCTGGATGAGTTCAACCACAGTTAATCACAAGATTAAATGAAGACGTTTGAGACGTAGCAGCAGCTAAAAGTATAAACATGCGGGTTACTAACTTTTTGCTGCCAAGTGAAGCTGCATGTGAAATCTGATGGGCCGTCTGCTGAAACATGGGAGTGTTTTTTACATTTTCGATGCAGTCCAAGTTCAGCTCCAAACCACTACTGACCATCTGTTATTAAAGCAAATAAAACTCCTATTGAAATCCCAAACACACTCCTCTGCTGGACAGTAGACAAGATGGAGGAAGAGACATACCTTGATTGTGTGTTGCAGTAGCTCTGGAATAAAGCCGACTAGAGCCTTGTCTCTGACGTAGCTGAAGAGAGCCAGCAGGAAGTCATGGCCCGGCTGCAAAGGTTGGGATCAATGGTCAAACACACAGCTGGAGATACAGATTTTTTTTTATGCATATGTATTAAAAATTCGTCTGCATTGTAAAGGTTACAGGGGTCTGCAATCTTTACAATCCAAACAGCCATTTTTGACTTCAGTCCAGCTAATAAAACATGTTTAATGTGGGAAACATTACATCACTTTTTTTTTTTTTTCTTAAGAAAAACATATTTATCAGATATCAACCACAGGTTGCTAATACTGTGGTTGAATGTGGTGCAAGCCATCGCTAATAAACAAGCTAACCAAGATAAAATATAATATTGCCCACTTTCCAGATGGAGGGATAAGCTGAATGAAGAACAGTGGCCAGTTTTTTTTTAATATTTTCCTCCTCAGCTTCCATAAAGCTGAACATGCATATCCTATGACTTCCTATTCTGAGGATAAATGTTATCATGTTAAACAAAAACACACAAAAAACACTTATTTTTCGACTGAAAAACATAAATATATATTTGTCGATTCATTTTTTTGAAGTAAAAAAAAAAATTTGACTTAACTCCAGCGAATACGAACCACAAGCATTGCATCACATTTTTTTTTTGTTTTTTGGGGGGTTTAAGAAAGGATAACTTCAATTTAATAAATTGCCACCATAGGAGATCTGTATTTGAAGAAAAAGAACAATGCCAATTTAAGTTTTAGGTTTAAAATGAAGGGAGAATAAAAAGAGAACAAACATTGTTAATGGGTTGCAAATGTTTTTGGTAAATTATTTTCAAAACATTTTTCCGAATTAAAAAAGATGTAGGGCTGCAACTAACGATTATTTTAAAAATCGATGAATCGGCCGATTATTTTTTCGATTAATCGATGAATCGGACCAAAAATATTTTTTATATTAACCTCTTTATTCCAAAATAAACATTTTAGACAAAACAAACAAGCACACAAGTACAGTTTGCTCATTAACTGTCCTGGTGCAATATGAAAAATAAATGTTTGTGTTAAAACTACGCAAACTTACATGAGAAATGTAGCTGTACATCCACAAAATATAGGCTACTTTGTTTCATAAAGCGCAAAAAAAGACATTTTTGTTTTTTAAAGCCCCTAAGGGGTTCAAACAATAGGCCCCCCCATTTCAACAAATGAGGTTTTTTTTAGACTAGAAGAGTTCTGCCTTTTAAGACAGGAAAGTATAGCAGTTAAAGTTGCTACTTGAGAAAATACTGAACCATTGAGATAAAAATAGCCCTGTGATTCAAATTATAAATTGTATTTGGAATAAAAATGAGAGAACTAGGGGTGCTAAAAAACACATCCTCCAAAGACAGATATTTACATGGGAATGTGGCATATAATTAATTGACATATTACTGATCTTGCTGGATTTTATTCGGCTTTACTTCCATAAATTGCAGGATCTTCTTTACTTTAACTTTGCCAGAAGATTTAAACTTTAAAAGCCTTGCCCTCATAATTTGCAAGTTAATTTATTTATAAAGAAAATATAAACGCTGCTTAAACTAATTCAAATGAAATTAAAAGTAAAATAAGTAGCCAACCTTCTCACTGTCTGTAACCTACTAACACGGTAAGGAAAGCATCAGATGAGCTACCTGAGCAACTAACATTACATTTCCCCACTTTAAAACGAAACAAACATGGTCGCTCACCCTGCTGATCAGCTCTCTTCGCTGCCATCAAAGGCTCCAACGTATTTCCTTTTCAGGTGCTGCATCATGACAGTGGTGCTTCCGTGCCATGTTAATTTTTTTTTACAAAAGTTGCCTGTTACGACTTTTTTCGCTTCACAAAGCGCACGCTATTTTAATTATTGTGATCAATTTGTGACGTCAATCCCGACGCATGCGCGCTTCATTTGCAGTCTGGACGCTGAGGGTAAACATCCTGCGGCTCTGACTGCAGCGCTGAGAGGGACTCCTGCGGGAGCGGGGTTGGGATGGGGGAGGCGCCCCACGGCAATGACGACGGCGGCGGATGACGCATTAATCGCGCGACACAACTAATCGATGATGAAATTCGTTGCCAACGCTTTTAAAAGTTGATTTTTATCAATTTTATCGATTCGTTGTTGCAGCCCTAAAAAGATGCAAAAAGAAAAAACATTTCTGTTATATTTGATTTTGTAAATTACTTAAAAAAAAATTACTAAGGCTCCTTTGATAAAAAAGAAAAAAGAAAAAAACTTGGGCAATAAAACGTCATATGAACCTAGTTAGAAAAATGTAACTTAATGGAAATCTACAATAGGTAGCTGATGCAGTGTTGAAAGTATTTGAACACACTGCTATTTTGCAAGTTCTCCCACTCAGACATTGTCGTAGGTGCATGTCCACTGTGAGAGAGATAATCTATAAAAACATCCAGAAATCACAATGTATGATTTTTTTAAAACTATTTTTTTTTAAACTATTTATTTGTATGATAATGATATCTGCAAATAAGTATTTGAACAAAAAATCTCATTTCAGACCCCTCCATGGTTTCTTAGTGGGAGAACTTGAAAAATAGCAGGGTGTTTAAATACTTATTTTCTTCACTGTACTGTTGGAAAATTATTTTAAGACAAATATTTCCCCATTTTAAAAAGAGCTTAAAACCTATATATTTATAATTAGTTAATGACGTAGGAAGTTCAATGCAATTAGTGAGTGGAGAAAACGCTAAACACACACTTTTGTTGGTATTTCTAATGTTAAAAAATTGGCTAGTTCTGCATTACTTTTAGTCCAAGCTAAGAAGAGCCCTTGTTGAGGGTCTAAACAGCCACTTGTGGCCCCAGAGCCACAGGTTGCAGACCCCTGCTCTAACCTTTATAGCTGATATGTGCTGCTGATATTGCTTTTTCTTCCTCTATATACATGTGATAAGGGGAAACAAAAGACTTTATTAAAACAAAAAAGAACATTTCCAAAGCATGGCCATTGCATTCACTAATGGGTGAGAGTGTGAAAACAAAATACTTCTAAATGTAAACACTGACCACTAGATTGTAGACCAAGCTGACACGAAGCACTGAGAAGATGCTAGACACCATGCCGGCTTTGAGCAGAGCCCAGAGCAGGGACAGGTACACAGGCCTGGAGAAATACTCCCCTGGTGGGCTGCTCTGGTAGTATCCTGCAAACACAGCTCCTGTAGAGGGAAAACAGCAGGGTGGGAAACTTCTGACCTACATATTCATAAAGCACCATGCTAAAGTAATAACATCACTAGATTTTAACAGTTTTTTTTTTTTGTTATAACCAGAAACTTGTATGCATTTTCTTAGCTTTTATGCATAAGTCAGGAGTGAAATCACAATGTATGATTTTTTTTAAACTATTTTTTAAGATATACAAAGATATACTTTTTTCATTTCACCTTACACAGAGTAACCATTGGTGTCTGAGTTGAGCTGGATTTGTTTGCTAGATTGGACCCATTTAGCATGGATGCGCTTGATATCACCATCAGCAGAAACAGCGTGGGGACTCCCAATCCAAAACACATCCAGGAAAAATAGGCAACAGACTTTCTAGATGCATTGTGCTGGATCACTGAGGTCTCAGTCTGCTCATCAAACGATGTTTTAGTCAAAATGGGACAAATGACAACCTATTCTAAAGATATTATCAGTAAAAACTTACAAAATGTTCTAAGTGCTAAAAAAAAGTCAATAAAATGGATGTTTGGCTTTAAATATTTTTCATTAATTTGTTCTATCCGGAACTCCTTAAGTGGAAAAGTTTTAGTTTCAAGTGGATTATATATTCTTTTTTTAATATTTATTAAAGAAATCAAATAAAAGGGAAAAAAAAGAAAAAACTTTCAACTGGTTCAGTTTTGCAAAACCATATTTTCCACACTATAAAAAAAAAAACGCCTTATAATCCGGTGCGCCCTTTGTATGGATCAGATTAAGCTTCAACAGGTCTCAACTATGGGGAGCAACCGCCGACTCCATTTTCTCCCGTAGAAGAAGTAGCACGTGGTGCATACTGGGAACTTTCATTTCCATTTGTGTGTAAGACCCAATAGTGGCTCCTTTCAAGAGACACGCATACGACACAGAGTTTAAATTCAATGCTATCAGTTACACAGTAAAACATGGGAACAGAGCAGCAGCTCGACAATTAAAGATTAATGAATCAATGGTGCAGAAGTGGAGGAAGCAAGAAGATAACTTGCGCCAAGTAAAGAAGACTAAACAGAATTTCTGAGGGAACAAAGCAAGATGATACAGTTAGAGTACAAACTCGAACAGAGAGCAACAAGCAGAAGTATCTCAACAGTCACTATTCCAATGAAGGCAACAGTGCTAGCACGCAAAACTCAACATCAATAACTTTAGAGGCGCTCCTTTTAGGCATTTTCAGTTCATGAAAAGACTTTCAGTCTCTCCATTCGCACCAGTGTTGTTGACAGCCATCTTAGATTTAGTCTTTGTCTTCAGGGCGAAAGCTATTATTAGTCTTAGTCACATTTAAGTCATTATAATATGTGATAGTTTTATTCAAGTTTTACTCCACTAAAACTTAAAAAGGTTTTAGTCTAGTTTTACATTGCAAAAAAAAGTTATTTTTACAATTTCAAATAACAACCAGATTATTTACCAGACTGACAGCTCTTTCCTAGATACAACTATTACTGGGTATACAATGCTGCTGTGCAGTTCATCATTGCTGTTGGGCAGAAAAAAATTTATTAATAGAATTGAAATAAACTTTTTTTTATGAATTATTGTCCTACTTTATAAAAAAGGTGTCTCACTAAAGCTGTGAAAATAGCAGATCTAGTTCATCACATCATATTGGTTAATATAGCAGACAGACAAGTTAACAAAATGTACAATAAAGGAATGGTTTTAGACATGTATGGTTTACATCCCAAATCAAATACTTCCTGATCAACTATGAATTATGCATTACACACAGATCAATAAAAACTTCAATACTCCAAAAAAAAAAAAAAAAATCAAAGAACAAAAACATTCTTCTTTGCCAATTTTGGCTTTATTTCTTCAATTTCCCCCTTTGTTAATTCTCATTAGCGCAGCTGCATCTATGCACCTTATATATGGGGGGGAAAAAATTTTACAATAGGCAATCCATTGAAGGTGTGGCTTATAGTGCGGAAAATATGGTATATTGCAAATGCAACTAATTACCCTGCCCTAATACCAATATTGTCAAATGAAATGATGCCATATTTGCCAGTTTACATTTTTTCTTACACCTCTAGTCAGGGGACAATAGTTGTCATCATGAAGTGAAAGGAAATCGATGTTTAACTAATAAATTATGGAATAACTCGTTCAGATTCAGCCCTTCTCAATGTTTCATAAGACATCGTTTGCTTCAACTACATTCACAAAAAAAAAAAAAGATTGAATGCAGGCCTATTTTAAGTCTCACTATAAATTTTATAGCTGTGTTTATTGGGGATTTTCCATCTCCTCTACAGTTACCAGAGTTGCAGGTGTTTTCTCTTTCTGTTTTCAGAGGATCACTGTTCTTCATGATGCCGTTTGTTCCCCAATGTTTTCTAATTGCAGTTTGAGTTTTTAAATGACACGCTAAACTTTAGGTTTCCTTTTCCCTGGGGTCCAAGCATGCACTTGTGTTTGGTTATAATGTGACAAAATGCTGAATAGTTTTCTAATTCTGTCTGAATCTGCATCTGTTTGAGGCAGCAGGGAAGCCTTCCTCTCTAATGGTACTGACCTGCTCGCTGAAGGGATGCCAGATGATTGGAAAACCTCGCAACCGTGTCGACACACATCTAGAAGGAGACAGAATTATAAAAGCCCTTGAAAATGTGCAACAACACAAACAGCACAGCAGAGGGTGACATACCCCCTGTGATCAACAAACACCCCAGAGCCTAAAGAGGAAGGTAAAAACCCAGAAACAGTATTTGGACCTAAAAATCCTTCCAAGATGATTTAAAGAAAATATACAGTCAAATAAAAGGAACAGATGAAGGGATAAACGGTCCCTACAGACAGGTGTGGGCGTACCTTCTCGTCCCCTTCGCGAGGTAGATGCAGAAAGCGACACATTTTGAGGTCACATGACTGCCATTCACAGAAGTAATTTCTGCAATACTGAGGAGTGGAAGTGGAAGATTACAGTAAAAACAGCTTCTTTCCTTTTTTAAAGCACATCTTTTGGCGTATCAAATGTTAACAGATCATAGTTTTTACTGGATCATTCCATTTTCTAAACTCAACTTATTCAAATCATAATTCAAGGGGTTTATTATAGGAGAAAGAAAGCTATAGGAGAACATTTTGACATTAAGGAATGCTTACATCATTGGATTTCTGCCGCCAAAAATCTGTCCCATTTAGTAGGGTTTTTTTTAATGGTTCTGTGTGATGAGTAGAAATGAGAGTTATTCACCCTATCAAAGCTGGACCTGATGTTTTTATTGGACATTTACATTTAGAGCAAGTTTAAAATCCCTGTTTACCTGTTCTTGAGGCTGTAGGAATGGTGATGTCATTGGAGAAGCTCACTCTTTGGATGGAGGAACCAGAACTACTGACCAGACAGAAACACATGCTGGTTATTTTATGATAGACTAGCAGGAGTAAATAGGAGGAGTTGAGCCTGTGGGATGTGTGAATAAATACCACGTCGGGTTGCCGTCTAATTCGTTGTTGTTTCTGTCCAACTGGTCCTGTGAGAAAACATCGAGCAGATTTAACCTCCTACAGCAACCAGCAAAAGCACTGATTTCCACTGAAAATTGCTGCGATTTGTCATTTTAGAAACCACAAAACTCAGCTGATTTTAAGATGGCGGTGCTAATCCATCCAGAGGTAGGAGAATTAAGATGATAAGGCCACAAATTGAGATAAAGCTCCTCAGGAAGAGAGATATGGAGATATAAAATCCTTCATGAAGCTGAACCAAAGCTAAGCCTTCATTAATAAACTGGACAATAAAAAACAAAATCAAGAACCACATCAATCTGAATGAAGCATCTTGAAAAACATGCATCATAAAAGTCAGATGCTTTCCTGTAGTAGGGATATGGGGAGATGGGCGGGGCAGAGAAATCATTATTTAAATGGGCCTAAAATCTAGTTAGAAATATCAAACAAGACTGGAAAACTGGCTTCCACAGGAACTTCTGTTGAATCTGACAGTCTGAGATTATTTATAGGGAAAATATAAGTTGTAGATTAGAAAAAGGTGACTTTTAAACAGGGGTGTGCAAAGTAAGAACCAGGGGCCTTCTGGTGCCCGCAGAATAACTATGGGTGGTCCTAGATCCAATACGAACTGTAGTTTACAAGCTTAGGCAGTTGGTATAGATGCTCATATATCTATGCATATAGAGAGAGAGAATTTAAAATGAATTGAAAAGGTAGGGCACGAATCAGGGTATAATCAGTTCTATTTTTTTTCTTCTTTGGTGCAACCATTTACTTACGTTGGCTAAATAAAGTAAAGCTGCCAAACACTGTTGATTAATTCAGTAAATCATTAATCTATAGAATATTTTATTAATTATTCAGTTTTTAAAAAAACTTTTGGAATAAAGAAAAATAAATTGCTCATTTTAAATGATTTGCAAATGGCAGAACAAAAAAAATTGTTTTGTAAAAAAAAATTGCAATGGACGACCAGCCCTACTCTTCAATATAAATATCATGTTTTTTGTTAAGCAGCAGCATTGATTCTCTGTCCTCAGTAGTTTTAACATTTGCCCATTGGCAAAAAGGAAAAAAAAACATGTATCTGACTATTTTTTGTTTTATTATCTATAGATCTACAGAATACATTTAAAAAAAAAACATCATTTCCTTCAGCCTCCCAGATCCACTGTATTTACTTTCAGTTCAAAACATAAAAGGTGTTAAGGTTTTTTGGTTACAATGTGACAAAATGTGAAAACTTTTTTTAAATTAAAGAACATCTAATGCTATTTTACACTTTATAAACCGAAACACTAGATGAAAAAAAGCTTAACCCTTTATAGGGCAATCAGTGAAATAATCCCAAATTCAAGCCAATAGTGTTGTTGGAATCCAGGATTAGATTTTATTACCTTTGTAACAATAAAAATATGGATATTTTGATGGCAAGAATGACTGTCAATGTAATAAGAAACGCCAACTTGCCCGAATATATTTCTTCTGCACGAAATTCATGAAAAACACTCTGAGAGTGGAAAAAAAACTTTTTTTTTTTTGGTACAACATAACCTTAGAGGCATTAATGCTGATACTGGCACTTACATTTTTTAGTTTATAAACCTAAATATAATTTTTAAACAAGGCTTATTAACTTTTTAACTTTTCAATTAGCTTTTTACCTTTTTTTTTCTTGACTTAACTTTTTTTTTTACTTAATTTACAGTAGGTAATGTATCATTCAAGGGCTCATCTAATTAGTCTAATGCCAAAATAAGATATATAGCCATGCAGCAGCATCTTGGCTGAATGGCTGGATATAGATCTTGTGCTTCCAGTGTTCAAAAATAGAAACTTGCCCTATAAAGGGTTAAAGCATCAACCAGCAAGATGTCCTGCACGAAAGCTACTACCTGGTCCAAATCAGTCGTTTTCCGTCTTCTTTGAGAAAATTGAACCTATAAAAACACTTAGCATTAAACATTACCACGTTTCTGCTTTGGCCGACACTGACGGGGTACGGGTTTGGATTTTTGGATTGGATGCTCCTGCACCGAGGTCTCCATGGCCTGATTTCAGTCTCCTCTGCAACCAGAATAAACATTGATCCCTCCCATGAAGCAAACAGGATTTAAAAACCAAAAATATTCCACAAGAAAGGAAGAATGTTTGCATAATTCATACCTGTGTCATCAACATTGTCGTCGAGAACCTTTATGGTTACTGGAGTTAATCTGAAAAACACACAGTTTTCATTAAGCTGCCGTCCTCTATTCATATGCCCTAACACAGGAGGCCTCACCTTTGCTCGAATGCTGATGACGACTGATCGACCTTTGGAGAAAATGTTATTCTGGGAATCGGTTTCTTCTTAGGAGCTGCCGTATCCCTCACAGGGCCCAGGTTCAGCAGGCTTTTCTCCGGCAGATTTCCGAACAGTTCTGGATCCTCCTGCGTTACGTCAATCAGCAAGATGTCCTGCTCGAATGCGGCTACCTCGTCCAAAACGGCCTCCTGAGGTTCGTTGGCTGGCCCTGCTTCTCCATCGCTGCCTTCTGTGTTGAAGGAGCTCAGATCCTCTTCTGTGGCAGAGCTCTGCTCCTCATAGTCATTTGGGGATGTGGGATCTTCGTTACCACTGCCAGGAGAAGGCTGGCCTTCGGTCCCAATGTCTGACATGACGGTTGTCTTTGTTTGAGGATACAAGGGAAGAAGTTCTGAGCATCTTTGATCATTCTCACCATTTGCCCTTGAATTAGACTCATCTATGGTTGTTTTTCTAACCCCACCATGCTCCACCTCAGACCTCCTGGGAGAAAACGCTGACCAAATGTCAGTGGGATGACTGAGATGTGCAGCAAGACCTTTGCTTTCTTTGCCGTGGTGCTCATGAGGGTCACTGCAGGTCCCACTGTTGCAGTTGACCACTGGCACCAGGCAATGATCCAATGGCGTTGGATCTTTGTTCACAACCTTCTCCTGATGTTTCGAATCACGCCGGCTCTGGCACAAGGTTCTGCCTAAGACGCGTGTGTAGGGTGAAGTGATGGGGGAGAGCACCGGTGGAAGCAGCAGCTCCCCGCAGTCGGGGTACTCATGGCCGTTTTCTATATTGTTAGACATTGGCGGTTCTAGGATGGGTGGGCTCCTGGTGTGGTGGAACTCATCGTCTCTGCTGCAGTCGTCATGGAGGCCGATGGAGGAGACGGGCGATGTAAGGGGAGAGGAACAGACGGACACCTGGGCTTCTAAAGTCTTCCTTTCTCTATTTTGGATTTTCCCTGATGAGAACGACGAAGGCGGCCCGGAGGCACACCTGGAAGCAATGGGTGAGGACGAATTTGGTAAACTGGACCAGGCAGAGAACGTTTCCCAGTTGTTCAGATGGAGCTCTGACTGGGTGGAGGTAGATGTGGAAGGTGTCGCTTCATGGCAGCTAAACGGAGAAGCCAACCTCGATCCAGCTTCAGTGCCTGGTTTCTTCTCATGGTGAGAAGAGTCCTCCACTGATTTCAGTTTCGCTTGAACCCAACTGCCCAGTGAGGAGCTGCCCTGCTCCACCCTGACTGCGTCTGAGGAGATATTGAGGTTTTCTCCTATAGAAGAACAAGCCAGACTCTGATTCTCTGTGATGAAGCTGATTGCTGATAAACCAGCAGAAGTCTCAGTTAATGATCCGGCAGATCCATCAACTTTACATTTCTTCCAACTATCTGAAAAGGGCCAGGACATGTACGTCCGTGCACAAGAATCTGACAGTTTCTTAAAATAAGGCCGTACTCTCTGACATGTGAAGTTTTCTGGTTCCTCCTCATCACTCTTACTTAGAGTTGGTGAGGTCTGCTGAACGCCAGTTTCTGCTACTAGATCGTATTTGGTGCTTACATTTCTATTTTTTATATAAAAGCTACAAGTTCTGCTGCACTCGACTCCATCCCTGAGCTTTATTCTTCCGTCTCCACGAATCTCCAAATCAATCGGGTCACATCCTGGTCCTCCGTCTGGAGGACACACCAACACACCATCCGCCTCATCAGGTTTGCCTTCTAGGGGAGAGGCAGGACTCCTGACACCTGCATCCGTCCAGCCGCTGCAGAAACTCTTTGAGGCCTCGGCGTCTGGGACTTCCTCTGTGTATTTGTTTTTTTCCGTCAGACTCTCTGCCTGACAGATGCTGTTTCCATTCTGCACGCTGGGACTGCTGCTGCTATTTTTAACCTCAGCACCTTTCTCCCTGCCATACTTTTTTTGCCCTGAACAACTGGGCCAGATCCAGCATGCAGCCCTCATGTCCCGTTTGAAGCAAAGCAATTTCTTGCTCTTGAGATCCTGCGGTAAAACGTAACCACAGCCGTGACTGCATGCGTTTAATTTGGCAGCGACGTCGCAGAGTATGACCTTGGGGTACTTGTTTATCCACACCACAATCTTCTCTGTCGTCTGGACGGCTTTTC